CTTACTGCCGTTAACCAAGTCAGAGACTCTTAGGTTGCCTACAGCTTGCTGGAGGTAGCTTGCTGCAAAAGAAGCCTGCGGGAGGACACCATGACCAAGGAAGTTGAGTGATCCTGCCAAGCCAAGGTACGACGTCAGTTCTTCCGGGGTGGCTCTTTCGTGGAACTGCTTTTTCCGTTCCCGAGACAGCGCCGGAAACTCGATTTTCTCCATGTACTCTTTCATATCGATGTGCACTGTACCATCAGGGCCTTGCGAAATGTGGAGGCGATTGAAGATCAGCGGGCGGTCAACGACGAACCGGCCAACTTCAAATCGTTTTGCAAGGACAGCATGGAAGTCGTTGACTTCTCTTGGTGAACCGACTACCAGGAAATCATCCACGACCTTGCAAATAGCAAGAGAAATATTACCTCCATCGCCGAACTTCATGAAGAGTTGTGGCATACCAGGGAGGGGTACAATGTCTTGCCGAGACATCCAACCTTCTATGGTCAGCTGCCAGAGTCTTCCAGACTCGACGATTCCATAGGCGGGCTTGAGAAGTCGCCACAAAATCCCTCGGGCCGCCCAACCTTTTGGTGGTCGAACATAGATGTCTCGAGAAAGGTAACCTCCCTGCAGGTACGCACCCTTAATGTCGATTGTGGCTATGACCATGTTCAAGACGGCGACGATGGACAACACCAGTCGGATCACTGGGAATTGTGCAGTTGCAGAATCCTTCGGGACACTCTCCTTATCTTTGTCGCGGTTGCCGTGAGGCACCATTCGACACTTCAGCCGGAGTTTGTCCTCTTCCCCATCGGTCTTCACTTGGAAGAAATGATGCGATGATATAATGTTGGCACCTCTAGGGATGGAACTCAATCTGACTTCTTCAAAGGCACCGTCGTAGTTATTCTTCTCTGCAGCTATGGCTTTGTCAAGCAGCCATCGGGGCACGAACTGCAGTTGAAATTCCGAAGCGGTTTTATCTCCGATGATCCCTTTTACTTGTCGCAGGACGTCCTGCTCCATGGACTGAAGTTCAAACGGCAGCTCCGGGGGAGGCGTGACTCTCACCTCACCGATGTCTTTCTCGGGACGAGGTGGGTCAAACGGTTTGTTGAGAGTGCCCTGTTGCCTTGCCGGATCTGAGGGAGTGACTTCTTCCTGCAGGGGTCTCTCAAGGTTGCGTGAGCTTGGAGATTTCTTAGTATTCGCAAAGAATGCAGGCTGTTCTTCGAAGTACCTTGCGACATCTTCATCAGCATGTACTCTTGAGTCCTCTCCGTCTTTTCTGATCTCAAGAATGTCCTCGTGTAGAGGAGGGTGGGCGTCGTTTCCCTCTTCCCACGGAAAGCTTGCTGGGAGATCATCCTCGGTCGGCAAAACTTGACTCCGGGACTCGGCGTTGTCAGTTTGATGCTGGTTCATCGCTACCTCAGTGTCATCCGTATCAACGACGGCGTACGACCGGGGGAAAACGTAACCAATCTGGTTCAGATCCAACAGCAAGGGTGACCGTGGAGCTATGCGCACATCTTCATACGCAGCCCGAATTGGCTTTCCACGATGTTCCGGGTTATTTGAGACAATAACCATGTGCGGCTCGACTGCACGTACATACCCGGATTCCCATTTGCCAAACTTGACGTTGCGTTTGAAGTAGTAGACGAGGACGCCACGTCGAAGGTCTTCGGGAAGGACGGTGTTGGGTGACCGGCCCTTGTCAAGCATCAAGAGGGCCCGACGGGCAACTTGCTCTTCGTGAGCAGCGATTATTTGGTCGGTCACAACACTTTTTGGGAGTCCAGCGATGGAAGGAGTATAGCCCCTAGCGAGTTCAAAGCTGCTCATTCTCTTGCTACCGTACAGTATGTTGCTCACATATGTTGCACGGGAAAGAACGTCGGACTTCTCCACTTCCACGTTGCGAGTCTGCATGAAGAACTGTGCATCTTTGGTCATCCTTTGGGCTATCAACCGGACCACTGCATTCTTGCACTCAACCACCCCAAGCTTGTTGTGTCTTCGAGCAGGACGGGGCTGGAATTTGACCCCTGCATACTGCAAAAAGCCCTTGAACACGGAGTTATTGAACTCAGGGTCAGATGATACAACAGCTGGAGGACCGTGTACATCACACCACTTGTTATCGAACACACGGGATGCCTCGTCCATCTCTCGTGTATTCATGAGTGAGGTAACGGAAAGCCCGGTGTGTACGTCGACGATGTGGAGTATGGGCTGATTACTCAGCTCTGTGATGTACATGTAGTCTAGCTGAACGTGGTCGTTGAAAGATGAGAGGAGCTTTCCGAAAGAGACCTTTCTCGAGTTGGAAGGTCTTCCGGTGCTCTTGCAAGACGTACATTTCGATGCAACAGTGGTGAGGGCTTGCCTAAGAACTGAGGAGAGGATAGATCCTCGTTTGCATAACTCGAGCATATCGTCAAGGGGCAAGTGGGAAGAGCCATGAAGCTTGAGCGCAAACCTCTTTGCCACCTTTCCGTCCATAAACTTGGTTCTTCCGAAACGATGCCCCATTTGCCTCGACATGAGGGAGCGCAAAGATGCGAAGTACGTTTCGAAAGACGAAGTCTTTGAAGGTACCACGAACAAGTACGTTCTCTTGGCGTCTTTATCTTCCGGGGAGATTTGTTCACTATATGTCTGAAGCACGACCTCTTTCTGTGAGAGGCCGCACACTCCAGGTGGTATGACAAGGGCGTTTTATGGTCCCAGCAATCTTGACTTGTGGAGCACTTCGTTGCCGAGAAGGAGGAAGCCAATTCCCTTTGTGACGTAGAACGGAATTGTTATGTTTGTCCCGTACATGTCCGTAACAGGCATATCCCATATGGCAACCACAAGCTCGGCTTCGCTACACTCCATTCCATATCCGTGATAGAATGGTTTGCAATCGAGCGGACGAATGGGTAGCTTGATTCCCATTTTCACGCAGAGTGTAGCCGCGGATTGGATGCCGCCGACACTCCTCGGACAGCCAACGTCTAAAATTGGATTGGGGTCCTCACGTGAGGAGAAGACGTCGGACTTGGCTCCCCGCCTGGAAACGAGACTTAGTTGTCTCTGCGTCCCAGACGGGAGCCTGGACGAAAAAAAGCAGGAGATTTGTACTCGTTCCCAGTGTTCCGGAAACGGTCGTTCCCAGTGGTTCTTCGTCTTTTCGCGTGATGGTCGGACGCTGAGCAGCGCAGATCACCACGGAGGTGTCCCTGCTCACCACACTCTGCACAGGTGGTCGTGTAGGAGCGGGTTCCTACTTCTTCGTGAGGGCGCTTGCGTCTTCCTCTGGGCGGGTTCCGACTACGTCCACGAGCTCCATTGCGTACGACGTCATTATAGGCGAAGTTGTCGGATCCAGCTCCAGAAGCCTTATGCCCTGCGGCGAGAAGTGCTTGTCGAACGTTGCGCTGCACGAGGCTTTCAACGTCCTTCATGCTCATCGAGGGACCTTGTGTTGACGTGAGGGTCAAGTTTCCAAGGACAGAAACGGCGTCATCTAAGTGAAGCTTGCAAGGCTTCGCCTTTGACAAGATGATACCCGCTACGGAATTATTAGGCGTTTCATCTTCCTGCGGATTGGTGTACAGTTTCTGAAATGCGTCCTGGATTTTCTTTCCTGTCCCTCGTGCTTGAGAGCGGTACTTACGGAGGGCATTCCGTAGACCATTTTCATCGTCTGTACGGAAGTACAACGGACCTTGGAGCTCTCCTGCGCTCTCAATAACAGACTTGAATTCGTCGAGATCTTTGGTGGAGAACGACCTCGTTGTTGGCGGATTCACTTCGACAGCCCGAGCTTCAGCCAACGAAATTAACTGCAGCTTGGCATTAGTCAGAGTGCCCTCTTCGAGGTTGGCATTGTTCAACAAAGTGATTGCCAGGACTTCACCAATCTGGGAAGACGTCGAGGCGTTGGAATGCATAAGATGCTCCGCAGCCAGTCCTCGGAACCGTGACACGAAAACAGAGAGATCTTCGTTCTTCTTCCGGCGGCAGGTTGATACCTTGTGAAACGAGTTTATCAGCCTTGATACCATAGCAATCGGGGGGTCAATGGCGATGAGATTCACAATGTCTCGAACGGCTGCGACTTGATCGTTTTGTTTAAAATCGATCGTTCTTGCTGCCTGTGCTTCGTCAACAATTGACTGTTGAGCACTGGGCAAGCCACGCTCATAGAGCTGGCGCCCAAGGGTGGCGTACACCGTGGCGTACACGCGATCCGTGCCACGCTCAGCGGCAGACTTTATAAGGTCTACCCAGCGAGCGATTTTCCGCCGCCAATCCTGAAGATCTCCATCCGGATAGAAGAAGGGAGGGTCTAAACGGCTCTCGCGATCGCGGGCCGAACCACTCCCTGGGCCCATAACTGTGGTAGGAATGTTAGTCTCGAGCGGAAGCTGAGGCTCGGTTTCCCTGAACGTGCGCAGCGGAGGGAGCAGAACGGAGGTGATCGAGCGAGGCGAAGCGAAAGGCCACAAAAGCCACCGGGGGTCTTGTCTCGTGAGTGCGTGAGTATCCCCCGGATTTCTAGTCCCTTTAATTTCCCCTTGATTTAAGTACCCGGTAAAATTCCCCTTTGTAATTTTGGGACCGGCGGCGCACCGCCGCGGACACTGCCAGTCGCTTAGGGCTAGCGCTGTCCTCGCTGTACAGTGCCCACGACAGTACTCCTGTACTCAGGAACTCGAGACTACTCCACCTCGCTCCGACCGGAGCAATGATCAATACAACCAAACCTGTTCAATCTGAACCACGGCTTTCGGCCCCAGCCACCGTGCTGTATGCTGCCGTGTTGTACCTTCGAAGGTACGGCATGCTTCCGTGCTGTACGATACCGAATCACAGTGCGGGAACTGCGATGCCAAGAGCACCGATGGCCCCCTCTACCGACTCTTCCGGCAGCCGGCGGTGGCTTTATTTTGTAACACCCGAGGGGATACCAGAAGCCCATAGCAAGACGCCCTGCAAGAAGTAAGGAAGTCATGTCTTTGGAAATACCTATCAGTGCCGGCCTGGCTAATGTCTTCAAATTCATATTAATAAACTGGGGGTTGCTGCCCGTTGTTGAGGGAACTTTTGCTTTCTTGAACCGCAGGTGGGCCGCATACGCAGTGATGCAAGGTGGCTCTGTATATTGGAAAGAATGCAGAGCTGGGGCTCTGTATTTGCACTCCAAGTACTTCAGCAGGAAAAGTTGGTTTCTCGTTCTGCTAGTATCACTCGTTGCAAACGCGCTCGTGTTTGTCATGGAATACGGTGTTACTTTCGGTGAAGCTCACAAGTCTAAATTGGGGCAAGTACTGAGGAGCAGGGACCCCAATGGGTAGCAAAATTTGGCTGCGAGAAGGTGTTTCGAGACGAGATGCTTCGCAGGGAAGGTATTCTGTTTGATAACATTAGACTGACTCGTAGGACAGACCCCGTCTCAGAATTGCGCTCGTCTCCGATCTTTGAGCCAGACTTTCCCAAGGCTAGTTATGACGAAAGTATGTCTGAGGCTCGCGCTTGGCTAAAACGTAATCGCGGCGCTAGTGAGGATGTGGTATTGCAGTTCGGCAGAGGATTGGATGTATTCTACAACTGGGCGATCAACATGTCCACAGCTGCTGGTGCTGATGGTCGTGATGGTCAGGCCCTGGTACGGCAACGCGCTTTCTTCCGCATGGACTATTGTATTAATAGCAACTCAGAGCTTGAAGCCTGCACCGCTGTGCGCACAAAAGAGGTCCAGATGGAAATCACTAGCTTAAAAGGTGATGATTTCACAGCTCTTGATGCCAGTCGAGTAGTCAAAAATGACTTCTCGGTTGGGAGAAAGCTCGAACTGATTCAGCGGCCCGACTTTGTTGAGGTGGGAACTAAAACCTATTCCAATTGGGACGAATGTAGTTCGAAGTGTGTACACCCTGCTGACGAGGGACAGTATAACGCTACATGCCGGCCCAAGTTCGACAGGTCTTACCTCATCGAGAATGGGTTTTGTTTTCCTCCGCTAGAGGAGGGCGACACTATCGTATGTCTCCGTGTAAACGAAGACCTGGGGGGTTACATAGGCATAGTTGCGTATTTAGCTAGCGGGCAGGACGACGTTGGGAGTGTGGAGTATGACCGAGTGGAACCTGACTCCGGCTCTAGGAGGCTAATTTGGGCGTCACCTATTATGTATATAGGCGATGTACTGAAGATTATTAGACAAACTGACATATGAGGTCTCTCTCGTGGTGTTGCGATCACAAGGGTGCAAGAGCTGTCTGTGCTGGCAGGGAACAAGATGCGGGCTACCTACGGTGGGAGGCCTGGTTATTTCCGTCTTCAGGAACTCTCTGATGTGTCTGCGACATACTTAGCAAGAATCCTCAGCGGTGGCGTCATCTCTAGTACCAACGTGACGTTAGAGCCTGTGTCGACTGGAGAGCTTGTTGCTCTAACATACGTGTCTACGCGAACACTGGTCATCTTTGCGGCAGTGTCCACTCTCTGTCTAAGCCTTCTGATGACTTACTATGCCCTGAAGTTTGCGGTCACCAGGTCGAGCTCACCAAATGAGGGCATACTGAGACAGAAGGAAGGTTTAAGCGGTTCCTCTATGTGGCCTGGGGGGAAAAACAATCACTTATTACGGTCTTTCTTCTCGCTCGAAATAGGTGACGATTTCGACTATGCGATCCGTAAAGTGTTTGATGACTTCCGTAACACTGGTAAGTGTCAGAACCCTGAAGATGCGTGCGTCAGGTTATCACTGGATTATGAAAACAGGAACATAAGGCACGTGGGCATGCACGGGTGGGATAGCTCGTTAAGCCCTGATCCAATTAAGGACGGGAATGTGCTTATGGGACGTATGCTCGAAGTGTCAGAGGGCCTAGATGTTGTACCATTCAGCACAACATCATTAACCGATGACCGAGAGTCCGAGGGCTTCATATTCGTCGAACAGTCCTATCGCAACCTACCATTGGGCCCCTTTATAGCTAAGGCTAGGCATTACGCGCGACAGCGGGCAAACCTGCGCGCGAGTCTGCGCCGGGAGTTCACGGCGGAGGTCTCTCACGGTGCGACTTTTGATCTACGCTTATTCGAGGTTATGAGTGTGAAAGTCAAGGTGCTTGACCCTCAGGTACGCTTGCCCAAATGGTGGACGTCTGGCAGGTCGCATACGCGCCATTCCGCAAAGACGTCTCGGAGTTTATCGAGTGAGACCATGAGGATGACGCTCTCGTGCCAGGACATGTGTGCAAATATGTTGTCGAAAAATGTTTGGTATATATTTACTACGTAATCCGGATGGAACCACAGGAACAACAGAATCCTTTGTGCGGAGGCCCAAGTCCATTGCCTGCGTTCGTCATTTCCCCTAGCTAGATGACAAGGTCGCCTGCGAATCGCCCACAAACCCACTCGCCCTATTGGCCGTGGCCCACTTCAGATATTTCCTTCGTTTGCAGTATTGAAAGCTCTCTCTCTCTCCAAGACATGCAAGCTCTCGTTAAAGAATCTCCCCTCCTCTCATTTCCCACCAACAGTATAATCGCATTCTTGAGAAAGGCGAGCAGCGCTTTGTGACATCGCTCCGGCACCCAATTCACGTGGACGGCCTTTGGCAGCAGCTTCACCCCTGTCCCAGAGCCCATTGCACCCATGGTCGCGCTCTACCCTTTCCATGACACCGCAAACTCAGCCTTCAGAGGCACCACCTCAGAGGACCTTTGGATCGAGCTCTACCATTCGCGTCCTAGCTGGACCGTTTCCCAGATATCCTACCGAAAGAACGACGGTCGCTGGATACCATTTGGCAAGTATCAAGTACGACCTTCCCAGTCCGTTTTCAACCTCTCTCTCTCTCTCTCCGCCCCCCCCTCTTTTCAACCTCTCTCTCTCTGCCCCGAGTATCCTGCTGGTTCTGACCTCTCATGTACTCCCTCTTGTTCATCATTAGCTCATTGAGGCCGACCATGTAAAACCAGGCTTCCGTGTCTTCCGTATTAAAGCGAAGCGTCTTGAGTTCCGTCTCGCCAATGAGAAAGCTGAAGTCATCGACTCCAACGTCGGCCGGAATTACATCATCTCCAAGCCCGGTCGCTACGTCGTGGAAAGCGGCAGCGGCTGCCGTCGCGTAGCAGACGCTCAAATAGCAGATTGTTTGCGCGCGTCACGCCCCATGGACCGTTTTGTAGAACTGTCTTTTCAATCCAGTCTCGCATGGCGGAGCTGTTTCGTTTCGTACGCGATCGATGGGCAAGACAATAAGGTTTGGCACAAGTTGCCCATGGACATGAGGACGGATGCTAATGGGTCCTGGTTTCAGAGAATTGAGGCTCCGAGAGGGATCGTGTGTGCATTCAATGATGGCGGCTCACATTGGGACAACAGCAAAGGCCGCAACTATGAGATTCGTCTTCCTGGTAAATATATTCTGGGGGGTGGGCACATGGTGTACTGCGGAGTCTCTGACTTGGACGTGCACTTTTCCTGAACAAAAAGGGCTTTGGCAGCGAGCGAAACCACGAGGACCTACCATTGTGCACCACACCTTGCTGAGCTTCCATCACGGGAACGGCGGATTCACGTCGAGATTCAGTGCCCTAATCAAGTCTTCGACAACTGTCGCTCCACCGGATATTCTATTCACTATCAGATGCTAGTGAGCGTTCAGCGCAACAGCGTCAGGCGGTGCAGCATCATCCAGTCTGGGTCTAAGACGGTGCCCCACTTACATGCAGCAGTGGCAGCAATTGCACAACAATTCAAATTTTTGTTTACTCGCCATGTGCAGACTGCAAAAAAAGGCTTCGTCCGCACTCTGGGATCCCGACTTTGACGTTAGCGATCGTAAGATAAGATCTGTATCAAAGTTAGAGCGACTGTAGAGTAAGCAAAATCGCAATAACGAATGAGGATACGCTAGGTCAACGAGCAAACCGAATATGACCCTACGAATGGCCGACGGTGAGCAACGTAAAAAGCTACTATTCGACGCAAAACCGTTTATGTCCTACTACGCGTCGGAGAACTCGACCTTGATGGCCTTGCCGAGCATGACCACTGTGTTACCCTCCATAATGGCAACACGCCCAAGGCCCTCGCACTTCTTGAATCCTTCGACAACGAATGGTTGCTGCGGAGCGAAAACAATTTCAGCGACTTCGTTAGCCTTGATGTAATCGGGGTTCTCGACCTTGGCACCTCCGGTCTCCTTGCCCATCTTCCAGTTGATGCATTTGATTCGGCAGGCAGATCGGCCAGTGCGGACGAATGCCACTGGGGCGTAGCCAATCTTGAGCTGCCCTGGATGGTCGAGGATCTGAACCTGGGCCGTGAACGTGGCGCAACGCTTGAGGGAGTCATCCTTGGTGAGAATCATCACATCACCGACGCGAGGCATGTTAAGCTTCTCGACACCCTTGACATTAAGTCCGACATTGTCTCCGGGACCAGCCTCCGGCACTGACTTGTGATGCATTTCGACGGAGAAAACCTTTCCAGAACAGGGCGTGGAGGTAGTGTGAGTCGGCAGGAAGAGAACCTGGTCCTCAGGCTTGATGACACCCTGCTCGACACGGCCGGTGATCACATCACCGACACCCTTGATCTTGTACACACCAGATACTGGCATGCGGAGCTTGGCGTTGGTCGGACGATCGGGAATCCTGACCATCTTCTCGAGAGCATCGGACAAAGTGTCGATATGGGCCTTCTCCTTACCGACAAGGACGTCACAGCCCTTCCACCAACCCATCTTGGCAGACTTGGTGATCAAGTTATCGCCCATCCATCCAGAGATCGGGATGACCGGCACGCTCTTGGCCACGAAGTCCTTCTTCCACCCAACCTTGACAAGCATGCTCGTAACCTCATTCTTGATCTCAGTGAATCGCTCGTTGCCGTACTTGGCGAGGTCGCAATCCATCTTGTTCACACCGACAATTAGCTGCTTGACGCCCAAAAGGTTGAGAAGACGAGCATGCTGGCGGGTCTGTCCCTGGACCTGACCGGCCTTGTGATCGCCCTTGGCAATAGAAGTAATAAAGTTTCCATCGGCGGGAACCATGAGAAGTCCAACGTCGGCCTGGGAGGCACCAGTAATCATGTTCTTGATGAAATCGCGATGGCCCGGGGCATCAATGATCGTGTAATGGTAAGAGTCCGTGAAGAATTCCTTGGTAGTGCACGCGATAGTGACACCGCGGGCACGCTCCTCCTTGGACTTGTCCATGTAGAAGGCAAATGCGAAGGAATCCTTCCCGAGGGCCTTGGCCTCATCCTTCAACTTCTGCATTTCACGCTCGGAGATGCCTCCAAGCTCGAAGATCAATCGGCCAGTGGTGGTGGATTTGCCAGCGTCGACATGGCCGCAAATGACAATGGAGACATGCTTCTTTCCTTCAGTCATTGTGATTTGTTTGAGGTGGAGGAATCGGAAAAGGTTCTCGAGTCGGTTAGTTTCTCACTGCGATGAGAGGGGGGGGGGGGGGGGGGGGGAGGGGGGAAGACTGTTGACGGCGGCCGGCGGCGGACGGTATATTAACAAAGAATCGCTGTGTCGAACCGGCGAAATCGATGCGAGAAATTTGTAAAAAATAAAGAAAAAAGTCGAAGTATTAGCACGTTCCAGAAAAGAGTAATAGGACGACGACTGCAGGCCAGCCGCCGACAAATCAACGAAATTTTGATCCATAAAATTGATTATTTTCTCAAAAATGACAAAATGACAAAACTTAACACGCTAACGGGAATGGGCCCTGGCAACCGGAATTGACCGGACGACGGCGGCAGCCGAAAGCACTCCATCTTGGATCCCTGAACCGATGCCGCTTGATGCGTGTGGCATTGTTTTCCGGGTCTTCCGGTGGGGTTCCAGGAGAGTATTTACCGCCGTCGCAAATGAGAGTCCCCGATCGGCCCGACGTGGAGTCTCAACCAGTAGGTACATCTATTGGCCACTCTAGCATATTGACTGCGGATTTCGTGTATGGCTCTCTACCATTGGCCCTATGAATAATATGAGAAGGGAATAAACGGTGGTGCGTTGGCAGAGCCCAATTGGGAAGCTGGCTGCCTTTTGTAAGCCATCGATCCATTGTTGGGAGCCCGCTGAACCTGGCGATGAAGTGCATCATCGGATCTGCACGCAAACAGTATTTTCCAGCTGAGCATTACAGTGTAGTGGTTTCTTCGTGAAAGGTCTTCGAGTTTTAGATCACCACTTCGGATCACAAATCTATTTACGCACTACTCTGCCACGCTCAACACGTTCCCAGTGCAGAGAGTAATCCTTTACACGTGTCGTTGATCATCGACGGCCGCCGTCTGCCTCTTTTCACAGATCGCTCCCCTGCGCCCAACTCCTTCTTTGCCCTTCCCACAGCCCTTCACTCTCTTGCTCCCTTCTGCCACTCCAACTACCATGGCGGATATTCTTCACGAGAAGGCCTTCCCCAAGCAGGGTGCCGTATCACTAGTTGGTCGCGTTGGTCGCAAGAACGGCAGGTGGTTCCGCAACGTCGGTCTCGGCATCAAGACCCCTCGCGAGGCGATCGAAGGCACTTACGTTGACAAGAAGTGCCCATTCACCGGGAATGTATCTATTCGCGGACGTCTGTTTCGTGGTGTCGTTGTTTCCACCAAGATGAAGAAGACTGTCATCGTGCGCAGGGATTACCTGCATTGGATCCGGAAGTACAAGCGATTCGAAAAGCGTCACCGCAACATCCCCGCTCACGCCTCCCCCTGCTTCCGCTTGCGCGAAGGCGACCAGGTTACAATCGGACAGAACCGCCCAACCTCGAAGACGAAGCGTTTTGCCGTTCTGAAACTTGATCGTGCAGCGCCTTCAGCGGACGGCAAGAAGATTTTCGCAGGTCTCTAAACTGTCAAAGCGTTATGTCACATACGGTGTAAAGGACGGTTTACTTTTGCACCATGCTGGATGTTTGTGCGATGTGCGTAGATAGGATCGCGGCTCTCCAATGCGGGATTACATGCTTTTATGCACGTGTCGTTCGCCACAATTTATGCCCCTCACGATGCGTTGCGATTCCTCGCTACTCCTGTTAGCGATCCTCGTTCGGAGGAGACGAATTTCGATGCGCGTTTTGCGCACCGGTCTCTCGTCTGGATATTGCGGAGGTTGCTTGCTATTTAGTGGCGTAGACAGACCAGTACTCTCATAGTTCTTGTTCGTTTCTTTCACGCGATCGAGTCTCCATGAGTCCAACATTATAAAACTTCATAGCAAGATCGAATGCCATTCATTACCGCAAGGGTACGAGGAGTAGAACACTGGCGCAGGAGAGAAGCCACCGAGAGACTCAAGCTTACTATTCACACTTTTCTAGCTAGAGATCCCTACTCTAAAGACATCTACAGCAAGACCTTCACGACGAATGCATCAAGCCAAAATCCTTTGCTCGCCAAACGTATTGATACGGACACAACCTGCTATGGTCCTTGGCACAGGTTTTTGTCCGCCTTAATTCTAACACGCACTAGTACTTTGAAAAGGCCCTGGTTTTACCTTCCGTCGACCTGAAATCATACACGCTTTGAAGCAGCCGATAACACGCAATTCTCTCGCTCACTGGGATTGGATACGGAAAGCTCGAAGTAACCTGAAGAGGCCAGCCTCTGCGAATTTATTGTTTATATCGAGAACACTCGCTAAAATCGCACTTGAAAGAACAAGCGCCAGTCATGCGATAAAAAAGCGAATGCCAAAGAGAGGCCAGGCGGGCAGATTACAAACGGCGACCACGGCGACCACCCTTCTTCCTTGTGGAATCGGTGGGAATGGGCGTGACATCCTCAATACGGCCAATCTTGAGTCCGGAACGAGCGAGCGCACGCATCGCAGACTGGGCGCCCGGTCCCGGGGTCTTGGTGGTGTTTCCACCAGTGGCGCGAAGCTTAATGTGGATGGCTGTGACACCGAGCTCCTTGAGGCGCTCAGCGACCTTCTGAGCCGCCATCATAGCAGCGTAAGGTGAGCTTTCATCGCGATCGGCCTTCACTTCCATACCACCCGTACGGCGGACGAGGGTCTCACGACCGGATAGATCAGTGACATGAATGAATGTGTCGTTGAACGATGCGAAGAGATGGCACACGCCAAAACAGTTCTCGCCCTCACGAAGGGTCGGGCCGAGCTTGATAGCCTCCACCTCTGTCCTTAGTTTCGGTGGCATCTTGTACTTGCTCGTAGTCAGAAGGGGTGATCACTTCGAGTGTTGAGAAACGATGCTGTTGCCGATAAACCGAGCGTGCAAATGGCGCTCTGGTTTCTAGCGTAAGTAGCCGGCGGGGGAACAATATATGCGATCAAGTCATAGGAAGCTTTTGATTGGTTCATAGGTTTCGTGCGCGCCGCCGGCGACTGCCCAAAAATAAAAGAAATACAACCCAAACTAGCCATGCGTGGACACCAAAATATTTCAAATTTTAGGGAATGGGCCATCCCCACCACGTTGCCCTAATTCCATTGCCGTAAATCGCCGACGCGAACCCATCCATTGCGGGTCACTTTCTTACCAGCGTTAGTCGTGCCGGCACATCGCTTTCTATTCTCAGACTTGAATCCGTCGGTAGTTCATTTCGCCCATCTCAACTACCGCAATGACGAACACCGCAAGGTTACATTCCAAGGGAATCCATCTTGGTTACAAGCGCAATCGACGTAACCAGCACTGTGGCCAATCGCGCCTTCAAATCGAAGGCGTCAAGGATCGCAAGGATGCCCAGTTCTACATGGGTAAGCGAGTCGCTTACGTCTACAAGGGTCTAGTCGAGAAGAGGACTCCGAGCGGCGCCTCGAGCAAATATCGCGTCATGTGGGGCCGTATCATTGCCCCTCACGGAAACAACGGTCACGTACGCGCGAAGTTCCGCAAGAACTTGCCACCGAATTCCATCGGAAAGGGCGTTCGCGTCATGCTTTACCCCAGTACGATTTAATCGCCTCGAAGCCCTGGTCCTTGTGTTTCTCTTCAACGGCCGATGCGGAGACGGTTTGCTTCTGTCAGGCTGTGACTGAGCGCGATCTACTGCGCTATGGAGTACAGATACTTCTATCGATCGGCAAAGAGAAACGAGCGGCACTGACAGAAGAAGCGAGTGACTCCAAGTTACAGAGATTTGTACATGGTAAAGCAGCGAGAATTTGCGATCGTTTCGATTTCTTTAGTTAGAGTGTTAGCTGTTTTTGCGTGTTAGTTTCTTGCTTTCAACTTCTGAAGCCAGCAAGAATAATTTAACGGTATTCCTCTCGACATCCCCGAGTAAGGATACAACATTTCGAAGCGATGCCTTATCGTTTGCTGCGATTTCGACCAAGAACGAAGCAGCCTCCGTTGACTGGCTCGCCTTACTTGTGGTACTCGCGGATTTGGACGGCAGGGAGAGCACAATTTTCGATAAATAGATCGAGAAAAGAAGTAGACCAACGCGATTAATTGCGCACTCGCGCCCCGCATCTAAAGTAATCGCGGAAATAGCAACCCGCAAGCACGTTGGTATGCAACAGTGACGAGTAGAAAGCCCGAGGACACCAAGTTGGTATACTAATGCCTTCGCGTTCCCAGACCCGCCAGAATTCTTCTGTAATCCCCGTTTCATCATGTCAACAATGAATTGCTGAGTACCATGGCATCGCAGTGTCCATCCCAACGTTAACTCAGCAGGAGAATCTTCTTCTTTTTCATTTGCGATTGGGGTTTGCAGCATTTCCACTAGTTTGTCCTCTGTTTTCCTCTCGTTAACGATCCCACAAAGAGTGGTCCCCATCGCCATGGCAAGCTTAAGGAGTGCGAGCGATTCTTCTCTATATGCGCACTGAAATATTTCCATGACCCTTGAAATACAACTGCGTGCTGCCCGACTGGGGTCTGTTGCATAGTTTATACATCGAGACGTGCAGTTGCACACTGCCTTTTGAAATTCCACATCATTGTACATCGACACAACTTCAAGCGCCTCGCTCCCAATCATCCGAAACAAACAATCCAAAGCACGTTGCGCTAAATGCCGTGCAGACTTGATGTCCGACTCAGCCAAGTGATGAATCATCTTTGTGACACCCGAAATCGCGCCAGACATGGTGCAATTCCCGTCAACTCCATTAAGGAATCCGGAACCTTTACCCTGCATTGCTTGCAGCAAGGCACCAAGATAGACATCGGCGACAATTGTAAGCAAGGCGCTATCGAGATTCCCAAAATCTGCAAGTTCAGAAGCAAATTGGAAGTAAGCAGACCTGTTCCATTGCGCGAAGCTCACGAAAATTTCTTTCGCAATCACATTGCTCTCTCTACAAGCATTGCAAAAGCTAAAAAGTGCTTCCTGATGCTGAGCACAAAACGATGCACTCGGCTGAAGCAAGTCTGTGCCCTCTTCATAACGAGTTACCAACCAAACGTAGCAAGAAACCGACACATTGCAAAACTGACTACCGGCTTCAACTAATCTTGTCCCGGCGGAGGCAGGGTTTGCCCAGGAGTACCCGTCGCGCTCGAAGTTGGCACCGCAAGAAGCCCCCATACAAGCAATCGCACCGAGCACTACAGGCTCTATGGAAAGAAGGTATGCTTTCCGCAATCCCTCCTTTGCATCTAACGCTGATGTCAAGGCACCACCAGACTCTGCAACCATGTCAAGTCCACTCTCAGTAAGTATTGAAATGAAATCCCCAACAACAGCGCGAAACAAAACGTTGACGGACTGAGTGGCAGTCGTTTCCTCTGTGGTTGGTATAGCAGCCACGTGGGAAGTCGCGCACCATGTAGTCACAATTTTCGCCAATCGTGCGACTGTCTCAAGAGTAGCCTTAATCCCAACCACTTCTTCTTGGTCAGAGTACAAAAGTCGCTGCCGAAAATCCTGTCGTAATAACTTCTCCAAGAACGAGGAAACCTTGCGAGGTGCTGAGGCAAAACATTCCATTTCCCGCAGCCTGAGGAAAGAAATAAGAAGTTCACATAATGCTGAGCCAGCACTGTTCAGAACTACGTGCGGCACATTGTCTTGTAGTAGTTGCTCAAGAGTCGAAAGGCACGTATCCCAAATAGTGCGATAGTCTCGGAAGGTCTGGTCATCAGCCTTCCATGCTTCAGCAGTGGAGGCAATTCGTGTGGCTATTCTCTGAATCAGGTTACACCCCTCGACACATTCTTCAAAATCAAAGGAATCTTTCTTACATACTTCACATGCAAAATCCGCTACCTTCGGCAGAAAATCGTACGCGCATGTGTGCACGATAGAGTTTGATGGATCTATTTCCTTTTCACGTTGGGTGCATGCGCAGGCCCCAAGAGAACAATCTACTGCCTCGACGGCAATCTTCGTTGAAAAGACCTTCGTTTGGTGAGTGACATCCCATACCGCTTTCGATGGTCCATGATTCAGGCGAACACCATCCATACAGACGGCTCGACAAAGTCCAAACCAGTATTTCGGTCTTGACTGTGCATCAGCCGCAGCCATAACATGAAGCAGTCTTCTGGCCGCTGTTGACCTGTTTTCGACAGCTGCGAATAAAGTCTCAGGTATTCGTGGTAAGTTGTTACAAGTTTCTTCTACTCCAGCACCTCTTATCATTTCCGTCACTGCAGCGATGGCTGCACTCTGAAGTTCATCCATATGCGCCACAGCCGCGTATGGAGCCAGGGCCTCATACAATACTTCATCGAGAAACGGCCCCACAGCGCTGCTGATCTTAGATGATTCCTTCAAAGAAAACGATTCAATGGGTAACAATGCCGATACCTTCCCATGAGGATGCGATCGGGTAGCAAGAGATGATCTAGTCGCAAGGTCATAATTTGTCTGTGATATTCGATGGACTCGTGCCTCATCGATCCTTGAGGCCCATAATGCGGTCATGGCGTACAACCCAGCCGCTCTGGCTTTCCTAGAAGAGTTGCCTGTCCATTGTAAAATTTCTGTCGACATCTCCATTGCAGCATGGTAACCTGACTCGGTTAGAGCCCAGCAATGTAATCTGCATGACGACAAAACAGCTGCAGCCCCGGCTGTGAGGCACGGCGAGTTACTCCCAATTCCAGAAGAGTCTGCCGAAAAAAAACGCAGCGAAGTGTCTGAGACCTTAACTCCCATGTCTCGCCAAATGCGTGAAAAGCAACTTGTCCAGACGTCTGCCTCACTGACAGACCTGCAAACTTGGCCCATAGCACTAAACTGCCCTCTATCGCATGCCCAACCCTTCAATAATGCATTCAGAAGAGTCTCAGATGACGCAGCTACACGGAGAGAGCTATGGCTCAGAGCGAGAGCTGCTGCGGACTGGGCGTCTACATTTCCGTTCTCGATCGCGTCAAGAAAAACTCTCTCTGCCTCTCCGCAGATGGCATCAATATCTGAGACGCCCGGTGCCATATCAGATTGACAAGGCGGCTTTTTAGAGAAGGTCTGTTCTGTGTTTGGCACTACCTCGAGCAGTGCCCTTAGACTGGCAAAGCCATTTGCCAGTAGAACGCACTGCGATGTACCATCACAGTTCAAGTTATCCTTGATAACAGAGAGAACTCTTCCCATTAGTCCAATCCACAAAGTCGCTCCTCCTGTATTGCCCAATTCCCGGTGAGCTTCAGCCGCAACCAGTCTGGTACTGTGCATAATCCCAAGCGCCCGAGTATGAAAGTCGTGAAATGGAGCTTTAGCAATTCGGCCTTCGTCAGAAAAAGATTGCGCCCATTTCCACCAGCTATGCGCTTTAGTATGTCGTTCAAAGGCAGTACCGGGTACATCCTGGGGCTTTAGGTTGTTTCCGTCTCCCTTTGTATGAGGTATATACAATTTGCCTGTTTTGCTTTCCGACAAAGCTCCCCGACGCGTGCCTCCAGTGACCGCCAAAGATCGCTTCGCCAGTACCTGTAGGACTGCAAGAGCACGGTTGATTTCTGCCAAGTCGGAAAAGGATAATCTTCGTGACAACTCGAGGGCTATTAGTGCACTCATTGAGGGTCCTAGTTTCCCAGAGGAAAGTGACTCGACTATAGAACCTGAAGCTTTTAGATCTTCACACACTAAAGTTGCTATCCCAACGGCACAAGAGGCAAGCACTTCCTCGGCGTTCAGAGCCTCGAAGCCTTGCTTGCTGAAAGGCCAAAGCTTCAAATCAGCACTGCAGGGATTTTTGTCTTCTCCCAATGTCCTGACATCACAATCATGTTCTTCGTGAAGCCCCGTGCAATCATCCTCGTACAAATGTGATGGACGGTTTAGAGATTGCATATGATTGGACATTGCGGTATCGAACAAATAAGCTTTGTCTAAAGACCCAGAAGATCCGTGTGTCGCACTCAGATCTGACATGCTGGTAGACTCGCTTTCTCCAACTATTCTTTGGGCTTCTTCTCCAATGCAGACAGCAATATAGTAACACAGCTCTGAACCATCCCCACGAGGCGAGATGAAATTCATGCATTGAACAAGATAGAAACTTTCCATCATGAGGACTTTTGATAAGCTCAGTACAGTCTGTCGTCTTTGAGTCGGATCGGAAATATTTGCTAGTTCAGGTCCAAGACCTGGACTGTTACCGCTAATTGAACTGCTTGGCGACATCATGGATAACCCGTAAGCGTGTTGCTTTGCAATAATTCGGGCGGCACAAGCCCCAAGAAGTACTTCTCCGCATCTCACTAAATCAGTGGAGGATGCGTTCCGGAGAGCACACGACAATGCATACAATGCTGCGGACCTGACTGACGACTGTGCTCGAATTTCATCGAGCGAAGACGTGCTTGGAACTGTGCTTCCTGCTGCCCCTGCTCTGTGTGAAGGTGCAGTTGCGGTGAGGCCATTTTTGGACCCTCTTCCCCCGGCCAACCCTAGTTCTTCCTTCCAAAGAGATATCAACTCCTCAAGAGAGCTTCCATGAAACAGCTTCTTCTGTTTTGAGCTAGCCTGGGCCGCAACTAAGCCCCATCCAGCTCGCCGTCGAATGCAATCCGAAATTGTATCACGAGAAGCAGGCTTCTGAGTTGCAAGATGAGGCCGTAGCAACACCAGGCTATCTATTGTACACTGACGCCATAGTGCATCCGGAACATTGCACTCACCGGACGATACTTTCCCAATAAGAACGGAAAGGGCGGCAGAGTTTCCCAAAATCGAAGACAGCTCCTTTTCAACAGACTTCAAACCCGCAAACGTTCGTGAAACAGCTTCCTCAGAGTGTTTTGTAGCCATTGTTAAATCTGCTATTCGCAGTTCCTGCAAAACAGCCGTTAAAAGCGGAGAGCAATATCTCGGTAGTGCCGTCACTATGGCCGACATAGTTCTCACGCCGCCCATACGAACAAACTGCGAAGAGACATCCAACACATCGTGAGCCCGTTTCATAAGAGTTGACGACACAGAACCGTATTGCCGCGATAGTCCATTTTCTTTCATGCTCTGACGGCCGTACTTGAGCAGCAATGTGCTGCACACATGCAGGGCAGCGGAGAGGCGCCAGTCGTGTTCTTCGGAGAGAGCAGGAAGAAGCTTTTCTAAGATTGAAGACGACAATGATGGCTCCAAGTCCTTTAGTAAACCTAGCCAAATTGCGTCTACCAAGGCCGAAACACCAGACACTGATGACAGTTCTGGTAGCAACCTGGCAAAAGTTCGCGGTACAATCCTTGCAACACTGCTCGGTAATGCCATTCGCCACATTCGCAGCAAGCTCGCAACGGCTATTGAAGCGTCCACACGACCCTGCTGCAGCCCTGCGGTTTTCGCTATTTGGACCAACGCATCTTCAAATATCTCGTCAGATACCCACACGCTTACGTTTTCCTCATCCATTGTCATGTCAGTGTTGTGAGTTTGTTGGCCGTTTGCCTTCTGATTATTTGGAAACTTTGTCCCCGCCTCAAAGTTTCCGTATTTGAGAAGTTGGTACTTCGGTGACCGCCGAGCTGTGACTGAAGCGCGAGCCATGGCCACAGCCCACATTGCACGCTCTGTCGATGTTGAGGCAGTTCTCAAACTGCGTCCACACGCACTTACCACGTCATCGGCTGGTTTGGCGCCTCTCGAAACTAGATGCGGAGCTGCCACGGCGGCCAAAAGGGCGCATCCCACACCAGCGCACCCTTGCTTCGACGTAGGCGGTTGCAGGGCAAAGGAAAGCAGGTTGTCCACCAACCTATCGTCTGGCGGGGCATGCATCGGAAAGGACTGGACAATTTGGACAATAGCATAGGCAAGATCAGTGCGCTTGCATTTTTGTCGGACGCGAGTACCCAGCAAAAAAACGACCGAGTCTTTCGCCACGTCTCTTCCAGCGATAGCGCTGTTGGAAATGTCGGCCAAGGTCATAATGGCGCAGACCACTTCAAAATCGCCGTGGTCCGAATCAGACCAAGTGAGCCTCTTCAGCGCTGATATGTGCGAGCGGACATTGCTGGCAGCCTGCATGACAACGGCCGGGCCTGCGGCCCTCCCCGTGGCTGTGAGCAAGTCGACGGCGCGACGACGAAGAGGGCCAGCCCTGGTCGGCAGCTTGACGAGGGCACTGGCAACGGCTGAAAAGAGGGCACGCGCACCTTGTTCGTGCGAGGAACGGACGCGGGTGTCGGCATCGAGCTGGCCGCGGGTGGCCGCAGAGGTTCGGTCGCGCGCGGTGTAGGCAAGGGTGCGGGCCTTGATCTCGTTGACTACCAACTGCGACTCCTCGAATGCATGCAGGGCGTCGCCGAGCAAGCGCAGAACTGTGATTCGAGAGGGATCTGCCGAGCTGCAGGCGCGGGTGATCGCAGAGGCCGCGACTAGCAATTGAGTCTTGGAGCGGTAGGGCTTGCTGCGGTTCCCCATGCTGCGAGGGCAGGGAGAGGCCGACGGGGGCGCCGCGAGAGTTGTCAGGTGATTGCTGAAGTTGAGGCAATAGGCAGAGAATAATTGTACGAAATTGAGATGCCCTTGTCTCAGGACAAAAGTCGAAAGTCGCACTACTGGCGTCGAGGGGGATTGGGAAAGGATGAGGCGAGTTGATGACGACGACCGACTCTAAACTGTCTAGGCGGCGGGCGGGTCACAGACGTCTGTTTAAGAGTGTACGATGAGGCTCTGAAGGTGTAAGGAAGTAGGGAGTTGGGCCGGAGTGGTTTTTTGAGGTCAATTTTTTGCTGTCCTCCAGCTGCTCCTCTACACAAGGGTAGCTGCTCCTCCAGCCCCAATTCCGCACATCCACTGCTGACACAAAGTGGCTGGTCATGATGACATCATTGGCCCTGTCAACACTTTGATCCGTTCGATACGATCTCCCCACGCCGCTTCGGTATCCAAGAGTTATTACCGCTACACACTGCCACGCCATGCTCAGCGCCTTCATCACACACGCACCTTCGCCCCTCGCTCTAAGAGCGTCCAAAGCCGTAAGGCATGCTACTACGTCGAACCCTGCCCGTTTCACTGCCTCCATAGCCCCGGTCCCCCTCAACAAATCCGTCGACGTCCACATCGTTCCCATTCTCTCCGACAACTTCTCCTATTTAATTCACGACAAGAAATCGAACGTCGCCGCTGTCATTGACCCAGCAGATCCCCGCAGGCTACTTTCCCTTGCCAATTCCCTCAATGTCAACCTCACAACAGCCCTTGTTACCCACCACCACTGGGATCATGCCGGTGGCAATAGCGAGCTCGCCGCCCTCGTACCCGGCATCGAAATTGTCGGCTCCGCTTACGAAGATGCCGAAGCTGTAAATGTCAAGATGGAAACAGGCACATCGCGAGCGATAAAAGACTCTGACCTGTCGTACACGGCTTTGAAGACCCCTTGCCATACAATGGGGCACATCTGCTTCTACTTTCAGACCGAGCAGCCAGCCGTTTTCTCTGGCGACACCCTCATGGTGGCGGGCTGCGGAAAGTTTTTCGAAGGTGACGCCGCTGATATGGAAGTCTCACTCAACAAAACCCTCGCGCAACTCCCAGACCAAGCTCTTGTGTTTTGCGGCCATGAGTACACCGTTACAAATCTGTCATTCGCACAGTCTGTCGATCCCTCTAACCCCCGTGTCAAAGAGAAGCTTGCTTGGGCAAAGGAACAAGTTGCAAACCACCAACCTACTGTCCCATCGACTATTGGTGATGAAAAGATGTCCAACCCCTTCATGAGAACAAGTCGCCCGGAGCTTGCCGAAGGTCTCGATTTGAGAAATGCTTCCGCTGCAGAAGTCATGGGAGTCTTGAGAGAAAGAAAGAACAACTTCCGGCTGTAAAAGCGGTTAACGCTTATGGGGTGTAGTTTTCGCATCCCTTTTGGTTGAAGTATAGAGACTAGATAATCACCGGTGCAAAGTATGTATAAAACTCGTACCAAGCCCATTGTGAAGACCTGAAAGACTTCTAATACCTTTCTGAAAATAGAACAATCTAAGAAGAATAACAAAAAACAATTTCAGTAATAGCGAACCTCAGGCCAGCTTGGAAAGTTTGCTCACAATGGTCCGGAATCAAACTCGCGCGACACACTGGAGAGAGGCTACATTTGGCATGTTTAGTTACAAATGTACTCACTTTGCGATCCTTGAATACTTCGTGCTGTCTCCCGTTCCGCATTTTTCAGAAGTTCTCCTCCTGGTGCATATTTAAGTCTTCAATTCGTCCCATGCATAACCAGCCTATCCTGGGCCAAGCATGAAACACACACAATAACGTATAAGTACATGCATGCACTTATGTTCACATGCTGTCGGTCCTTGTCAACCCCAGGGTAATTTCCGTTGTTTTCGTCGCACATGCGACTTGGTACGCATATCCGCAAGAACTGTCCACATGTGTTTCGTTGGTTAGGATAGAGGCTGTGTTTCTTGAAAAAGCACTCTATCAGGGCACTGTTTCGTTTGGCAGTATTCTAACCTTGCATCAGAAATAAGCAAAGGAGAAAACAGTTCTATCTAAATGCACTACCGCCTGTGCTAATTTTCTTTTCTTACCTCTGTGCCTTCGAGCCTCCAACACAAAACCTGTTTGTGGTAGCATCTGCAGCTTCGTCCAAGTCAACAGTTTATTTTTTTCTTCTCCACTAGGTGACATTGTTATTGAGTGGCTTTGAGGGGAAGAACTTTCCACGCCAGCCTGTGTGGTCCGACGCTCCTCAGATCTTCCGCAGCAATAGCAAATCAACCGGGTGTGCTGTCATGATTATCAACGTCATTTTTGCACATTACAGCTCAGGGCACAAAATCCTTTTCGACAACGAGAAATATTGTCAAGTAACCTTACGGCGCATTGTAGAAATCCTTTCATCGCCGTAAGAAGCTCCGATGAACTGTCGTGTGCGGAAAATGGGTGTTCATAACTCATCGTCGTGGAGAGAAAGACATGGGGCGAATTTGAATAATACTGTATTTTGCTCATACATGACCACAGCATGCCGCCAAGAAGTAGATTAACGTGGGATGTTTATGTTTATGTGGGCAACCAAATGTTAAGCTGACCAAAAACGATTCGGAAACAAACATGTATCGTCCCAGTTTCACATGGGATTACAATACCGTATTTCTATTCTTGAATGAATCATCTGCGTGTAGACCGAGACCAAGTGCGTAAGGAAGTTCTCTTGTTCAACAAGCGTGGATAAGTTCGCTGTTGATTTCTACACATCAAATGCCTCGCCTTCAAGAGCTAGCTCCATTGGATTTGGCACCGAACCATATTCCTCTTCTTCACCTTCACTGACACCTCGGTGCGGTATGTTCCTCTCCTCGCCATTTTGCAATGCTCGATCTGCTTCCGCTTCAGAACCAAAGTACAGTTCGGCTTGCACTTTCAGCTCTGCTAGGGCTGTGACATCCCCGAACATGGCTTCGAATTTGGCAAGCGCATGGTACAACGGAGCATGTCGAGGATCAACCGTCAAGCCTTTCCGAAACAACTCGCGGGCCTTTTTGTAGTTTCCCGCTCTCGCTTCAGTTTGTCCAAAAGTGCGATAAAGAGGTGCATGACCAGGAGCCCTCCTTATGCCGGTGACAAAAGCTTGGCGAGCACTTGCAACTGTGCCGTGGCGCGCCTCGAGCAGTCCGTAAGCATTCCAGACCGGTCCATGGTATACATCAAACTCCAGTGCACGGTCCAATAACTCTCGAGCCCTCTTTATGTTGCCAGCCCTGACTTCCATACATGCCCAGGCCTGAAACAAGTGCACATGCGCGGGACTAGTCTCGGTGCCTTTGGTGAACAACTTTCGCGCCTTCCCAAAGTCACCTTTGGCGGCTTCCAAGACGCCCCATGCTTGCCAAAGGGCACCATGAGATGGGCACAATCGCAACCCTCTCCTGAACAAAGCTCTAGCGGCATCTTCTCTACCGCTGCGGAGCTCAAAAACTCCCCAGGCCTGCCAAGCGTGTGCATGGGTCGGATCCGCGGCTACGGCTCGTTTAAAGAAGTCACGAGCAGAGTTTTTGTCTGCGATGTACTGCGGGCATGAAGCTGCCTCTGCAAGGGCGGCCCCGACTAAGACCCTCGAATTTCTTGGATAACGCTTTAAGGCGTTCTTGAACAACTGACGTGCTTCTATGACCCTTTTCTCAGTCAGCTCCAACATTCCCCAGGAGTGCCAAATGAATGATGTGTCCCCACGAGTCTTTTCAGTGCCCTTTCGGAACAGTTCTCTCGCTCGAGCGGGGTCACCACCCAATTTCAGCTCGAGCTGACCATATCCATGCCAAACCGAAGATGATGCGCAAGCCTTCAATCCTCTACCATACACGCTTCGCGCCTTGTCAAGGTTCCCGCGTCGAGCTTCCATCATCCCGTACGCGTTGTACGCCGCACCATGCAAAGGATCAATAGTGAGGCACTCCTCGAAAAGCCGATTAGCTTCCTCATAATTTCCTTCGCGATCTTCGAGTAGCGCCCAAGCAACAAACGCAGGGCCGGCGGGCTTTACGCAAACGCTCTTGTAAAAGAGTTTCCGCGCCACTTCGGTCTTGCCACACTTATCCTCCAAAATCCCCAAGCTCTGCAGCAGTGCAGGATCCTTGGGGTGCATCATGTGACCCCTCTGCAAAATAGACCTGGCTTCGTCAACTTTCCCGCGATACGCCCATTCGATCTGCGCCCACGCATTGAAAACAGCCGGGGGCGGCTTCGCAGACAGCCCCGCGGCTGTGGCGATAAGTTCCAGCGCTCGGGTAGTGCAACTGCGCCGTGCCTCCAGCTTTGCCAACGCTACATACGACTCAGTAAAATGAGGTTGCGAAGTAATGGCCTTCGACAACAACTCCCTCGCTCGAGGGAGATCACCTATCCGCTCCTCCATCTCAGCCCAGTTTCGCCATAAGTTGGACGCGGACGACCCTTCTGAGCTCCTACAATTCTTCAACCCTTTCTCAAAAAGAAGCCGAGCGTGCTGCATATTCCCCTCTCGAGCTTCCAATACAGCCCATGCGCCACAAACCTCAGGGTGCGCGCCTACTTGCAAGGTCTTCTTGAACAACTCACGGGCCTGCTCCGTGTTCCCCTCACGCTGCTCCAGCAGGGCCCATGCATGACACACGTAAGGGTTTCCGGGCTCGAGCTCCGCACCTCTGCGAAAGAGCCTTCTGGCGGCATCCCGGTCCCCGCAGCGATGCTCCAAAACGGCCCAAGCCTGGAGCAAATGGACTGAATCGGGGCACTCGCGAAGCCCCTCTTCAAAGAGACGCTTTGCCTCTTTGGCGCCCTCGGCGTGCGACTGCTTCTCTGTGATTTCCTTGGCGTCGCTGCCGACACGGAGGTTGACACCACCGACTCGAGCTTCCAAGCGAGCGAGTGCGAGCCAAGAGTGAGCATCACCGCGGTCGAGGGCGAGACAGTCGCGGTACAGGGCACGGGCGATGGGGACATTGCCGTTGCGCTCCTCTAGACGTGCGCGCTCAAATGTTGCGCGAATGACACGGCGCTTCTCATACTTTCTTTCCTTTTGGGAGGGTTGAATTGGGGTGGTGGAGGACTTGGCAGCGTCCGGTTGGAAGAAAGGGGAAGGAGAGGGGGAGGACTGCCTCTGACGGCGCTTGACGCGACGGGAGGATCGTGGAACAGGGGCTGATAATGCGTGAGAGGGCTCATTGGTTGGGGCAGCTCTTGCAATTGGATTGAGAAAGCGGCGGCGACTGGGGAGATGAGGTGCGGTTGGGAGGCGCGGGTGGAGAAGGGCATTGTGGTGAGAGGAACGGTCAGTGGGGGCGGAGAGCGGAGGCGGCAGAAAAGCCATGGATGGGCCTGGAGCCGGTATGGTGGATGCACGGCGGAAGGGAGGGACGTGGGCGGTGGCGAGGGGGGAGGCGAGGTGGGGGAGAGGAGGCGAGGTAGATGAGGACTTGCCGCCGGTGAGGCGGGAGGGATTCACGGTCAGGCGAGCTCGATGCGGGAAGGTATGTTAGGAAGGTGCAGAGTATGAGAGGTGGGAGGCGCTTGCGTGGGGGCCAATCGGAGAGCGAAGAGACTTTGAGGGATGCAATTTTAGGATTTACGAGGTATAATAGCGGCCAATCACAGCCCGAATTGGCTGCTGTTGTCATGGCGCAGTGCTGCTTTCCCGTGCCAACCTAAATTACGGCAGGCAGATGCTACGCCGAGGGTGGTATCTGACATCCGTATCCGGCAAGATACATATGCAATGCGACAGAAAGCGGGGTCTTTCGTCTGTTTGCTCAAGGAGAGGAGCGCGAGGTCGAGGTGTCGTATCTCCATAGGAATATCACTGAACTTGTGGTGTAACCGGTTAGCTACCAGCGAGAGGGACGCCACATAAAAATTACCGACATCGAAGAACTGCGAAGGCTTCTTGTGTTTGTATTCAAGGAATCATTCAAATGTTTCTTCTACCGTACTGTACTTTTAAGGTTCTAGTCTCCACCTCTTTAAATTTGATATCGTCAAGGGACTGAGTGCGAGCAAGTCGTGCAACAAACTCCAAGCTGCGAGCTGCTCTTTCGAAACCTCGAGAGCGTCTGGGAATTCTGTACAGTATCTACGGGGGGAAATTTTTTACACAGTACCGAGATCCGACGGGCAGTCGTGCAACCATTACAAGTGGACACGTGTAACATCCATTTTCCTTATTTTCGAAAACATTACGAAACGTGCTCTGAAGGTCTGCAATAGGATTTCTCCGTTTCGCATCGGCGGTGGCGGCGACTGCGCGTGATCAACACCCGCCTAGCTCAAAACCTCGTCGTCATCCGCCCTCGCCGCGCCTCGTCGTACGGCACTCACATCTTGGGAACACCCTCCACAGCCTCGCACGATGGGCACCATTGAAGCTGCACAAGAACCTTCAAGAAAGAAAAGAAAGTCTAAGAAGCCTGATAAAGCGCCCGCCTGGGAGCGCGCTCGCTCTTTCACGCAAGACGAGGCGGAGAAGAAGGCCCTCCCAGTAATTCAAAAGGATGGCAGCGTGAAGCGTGCTCAAGCCCACCACCCGAAATTCAAGGCGAAAACTCAAAAAAAGAGAAAGGCTCCGCATCAGAGTGCTGCCAACGAGGAAGAGTCCACCTCAGAAGCCGTACCGTCGACGGGGGTCGCGGCTGGCGCTTCCAAGGCTCCGAAGCAGTCGCGCAAGAGGAAGAAACTGGAACCCTCTCTCGAGGATTACGCGAAAAAGTTTGAAAACTTTGAGACCTTGAAGACGAATATTGCTTCCATCGCATCAACGATTCTCGCAAAGCCTGAAGAAAATGTCTCCTTGTTGAAAGAACTTCGCAAGCTCTTCCACGGACTCAAGGGGCAATCAGCTGCCCTTGTGATTCTTGCAGAGTCGCAGATCTTTAAGGATATCATCCCCGCCTACAAGATACGACCCATTACCGATAAGGAGGCCCAAGTCAAGGTATCAAAAGAAGTCGCCAAACTCAGGGCGTATGAACAGGCACTACTCTCTGGATACAAGCGCTTTGTGCAATCTTGTGCCACTCTTTCTCGATGGCGAAGTGGCGGTGCGAGGGAAACAGAGGCAACTCGAAATATGGGAAAAGTTAGACTGGCCGCTTGCAGAGCTCTTGCGCAACTTATTCAAGCTCTTCCGCACTTTAACGAAGCAGACACTATTGCAACGAGCGTTTGTAATTTGGTGGCGGACAGGGAAGAGAGTGTCAGACGACAGAGCGCTGACGCTCTCAAAATTGTGCTCGGAGATGCCCACAGAGCTTCGGGACCAACATTGAACATATGCGTTCTTATCGCCAAGCAGTTGGCCTTGGTTGCCATCACAAAAGTACATATCACACCTGCTGAAGTCGTAGAGCCGCTCGCTGAGATCCAATTTGCGCGCTTCGCCAAGCTTCCTACGTCATCGAAAGCTAAGAATGCCCCGAAGAAGTCGAAGCGTTTCATAAAGAAGCGTCGGAGGAAGCCGGAGAAGGAAGAAACCGTCGTCGACGAAACAGAAATTGAACGTGATTTGAGAGAAGCAGACGCAGAGGCTACACCCGAAGAGGTGTACTCAGCGAAGAAAAAGCTCCTTGATTTTGTATGTCACTGTTACTTCAACGTCATCAAAGCCGCATCACATAATGCCGAGAAGCAAGAGGGTTCAAAACACGGTGGGACGAAGAGAAGGAAACCTCCTCTGGCCTTGACGCCTGCCCTGAAAGGCTTGCTAAGGGTCTCGAGCTTTATCAATACTGACATCATTGAAGCCATCCTTGGGGCTCTTAGCCCCCTGCTTGAAACTGGACGACTACCTCTTATGATTCGCTTCAGGTGTCTTTCCGCAGCTTACGCAATTCTTGGTATGCACTCCCGAACAGTGCAAGCAGACCCCGACTCGTTCACAGGTGATACTAGGGCTCTGGACACGTCATTATACACATCGATAGGCAATTTGTACGGAACGGATACGCCGGCCAAGGATCATGAATATATTACGTTTGATGCGATGGAGGCAATACTGTCCTGCATCAATTTCCGCGAAGTACCCATGGTCCGATGCACAGCGATAGGGAGACGCTTATCTGTTTTGGCGGCATCATCTGCTCCTACTCATACCTGCACAATTGGACTCTTGCGCGTTGCCCAGTTGATGCTGCAACCGGCCCTTGTGTCTCCATTGTACCCTCAGAAGGCAGACAAGGCCAATGAAAATGTCCTAGGCATTGACTCTGGTTTAGTCCAAGACTTCGATATGGATACTGATGACCCAGAAATCGTTAGTGCAGAAAGAAGTGTATCTTGGGAATTATCATGCCTGATGGCCCACTTTCACCCAGCTGTCCGTGGAATTGCAGAGGTCACTGCAAGTGGATTCTGCGGTTCCAGGCTGCCCAAGACATCAGAAAACATTATTTTGGCTGTGAAAGGATACCAGAGCTCCAAGGGGGGTTTCAATCCCCCACCGCGAGAAAAGCCACTCAAGGCCAAAAAGCCCAAGAGGCGACAAACGCCCCCGAAGCAAGACGCCGTTTTGCAATCTGTATTTTCATCGGAAGCTGAGATCAGAGATTTCGTAGACGGAGACAGCGAAACCCCAGCAGCGTGCTTTGAATCTGCCTGGGTAGCGACTTGAACGGCCTGTTGGCCGGACGCAAAGAGAGAGATAGGGCTCTAGCATTGAGCTGTAGTGCAGAATCTATGTATCTATGCATGCACAGGGAGGGAACAGCGCGTCAGTGATAAAGAGCGGTGGGTGCAACCGAATCGTCGCACAACTTGTCGACAGTCTTGCCTTTCTCCTCGATACAAAGGGATGGCTTTCCGCAGCCTTGATCTACTCATTAAACTTTTTTTATTCGTCGTAGAATCACAGCCATGCGCTGTAGAGAACTCGTTCGAAACCTTGTTATCGAGGTAGCTCCATCACCAGTGCGCATTATTCGTTGGGTGGATAAGAAGAAAGCGACCCAGAGTGAATGCTGATAGTGAAAATTTCAACCCCACCGTTGATTGACCACAGCGTCGGTTTACGCAATGCATTCCCCACAAAATAGCCGAGCCGCTTTTTCGCCCACGAAATCACTGAGTTTCTGAAGTATTCGCCTTCTCAAACGCCATCTCAAACGACGTTTTGAACGTCGGCTGGGAGCTTGCAGCCTTCTCCATATCCGCAGTGAAATCAGTCCTGCTATCATCTGCGTCTTCGGAATACTCCTTGAGTGACATGGAAATACGATTCCTCTTACGATCTGTGGCCAACACACGGACCTTCACGTTCTGTCCAACTGATAGAACATCGGAGACATTGTTGACACGATTTTGGCTGATTTCAGAAATATGAATCAAACCCTCTGTCGGTGCAGATTGAAGCGGCTGGCCGTCGGCATTCATAAACTGGCAAAAGGCGCCAAAGTCGGTTACTGACGTAACCTTCGCGTCAACATACTCCGTCTGGTCGAACTTAAACTGGTCCCACTTCTCCTTCTGATCCTCCCTCCTGCCCTTTCCTCTCCCTTCGCCACCGCCCGATCGCCTTTCCTCCATCTCCTGAGCCGTCTTCATGGTGAGCGAAAAGTTGCCCTTGACCGTATCGACCCCCATAACCCGAACGGTGACCTTATCCCCGACATTGACGATATCCGTCACCTTCTCTACAAAGCCAGCCGCCAGTTGCGACACATGAAGCAAGCCATCTGTTGGCGTGCCCATATCTCCAACAAAGGCACCATAATCAGTGACGCTCTTAACCACACCCTCCAGCTCCTGCCCCACGACAATGTCCTCCAACGGCAGGGTAACCTCCTTCTTCCGCGAGCGGCGACGCTTCCTCTTCTTCTGGTCTTCGGCATCGGCATCCTCTGCCCTATGCGTAGCATCGCCCGCACTCTCGGCAGCAGCCTCGACACCATCAGCACTTGGCTGTGCAGGCGCCTCGGCGACGACTTCCGCTGCAGGTTCCTCGCTCGCTTGGGGCGTTGCGGTCTCGGCGGGGGCATCCTCTGCGGGGGCAACCTCTGCGGGGGCATCCTCGGCGGGGGCACTCTCGGCGGGGGCACTCTCGGCGGGGGCATCCTCGGCGGGGGCGGCCGCCTCCTCGGCTGGCGCGGGCGTGCAGGCGAAGATGCGGGCGGGGAGGTAGGGACGCGTCGGGAGGCACGGGGACGTGGCGACGCGCGTGCCGCACAGCCAGGGGCGAGTCGTGAGGACTGCGCGCGGGGAGGCCGCGGCAAGGACAAAGGCAGGGGCGTTCATGGTGCGATCGGGAGGAGGGTGTCGGGGAATTGTCGGTGGAGAGGAGGAAGTGTTAGTGGCGAGAGGAGTAGGGACGGCAGAGAATGTGTATCTCCCGACCGATGTCCCGCCGAGGCGGTGGTGCTGTTGTGTACGACTTGATCTCGGCTCGTTGGCCACTGTAATTAAAGGACTGACAGACCCCACTTGGGGGCTTTCTCGGTTCAATAGGTTTGCAGTGCACACGGCAAGAAGATGCGTGCACTGTACCCTCAGGGTGCTGCAGTACAAGCTATCCACGGTACACGTATCGTCCAGGATCTGTACAAGGAAAGACGCCGGCTCGTGCCTGATCGAGCCAACATCAAAGGGTGTTGAAAGCATGCTACAAAACACGCAACAGCACGACTCGAGCATGAAGGAGTGGCAGGAAGGTGCTGTATTCATTTGCAAACGATGGACGGAACCCAATCATGGAAAGAGGCAAAAGCAAGACACCATCTCACAAGACTAGTGTCGCGCGCGCATGCGTCTTCGTCGCCCACTACCAGTCTGAAACAAAAAAGGGCTCGTACCTCGTACCTATTTATTACAACCGATAACAAATATAATAAGCATTTCCACTCCCTACACATACAATTCTTTCTTCACGACACTGTCGCAAACCTTCCATCTACACTGCTGTCAAGCCTTGCCTTCTTCATCGCCGGCCCGGAATCCTGCTCCTGTCCCTGCTCCTCAACATCCTGTTCCGCATCCACGGGTTCCTCAGCATGCTCTTGTTGACCCGCCACTAGATTCACATCCTGGTCCGTGTCCTGCACACCCTCCTGCCTGACCTCCTGCTCCGACGGGACGGTGTGGATGACATTCTGTGCGGCGGCCGCCTCCGTCGCCGCCACTACCGCCGCCGCCGCCGCCGCATGAGCCGCCGCCTCCGCCGCGACAGCCTCCTGCATCTCGACCACGGCCCCCCCTCCCGGCGCAAGCAGCTCCGCGTCGTACACTGCATCTGCCGCCCGTCTTCCCCCCTCCTTGGTCAAAAGCTTCTCGATACGCAACAGTGCCCGACCGTGCGCGTCGACCACCGCCCTGAGATCCGACAACGCGTGCATGACGGCCGCATGGTCCATCCCGCTCCGTGAGCGGCGCGTGGGCGTGTGAGACGCGAATGACACGGGCGGCACGGTTGACGTGCCCGCAGACGCTGACGCTGCGGCATGTGCAGCGGCGGCAGCTACGGCGTGCGAGACGCCGCTGTCGTCGAGACGGACGGCTTCTCCGCTGGGGTTGAGCGCTGTGATAGGGATCGGCTCGTCGCCAACGACGGCTTCGACTTCTTTGAAAAACGCGCAGATGCGCGGGAGCGTTGGCGGGGCGGCGTTCTTGATGCCCTGGCGCGACTCCTTGTAGGCGGCGAGGATGTTCTTCCAGCGCACGGCGCATTGGGCTGGGGTGCGGGTGTGGCCGAAATGGTTTTTGAGCTTGTCGGATAGCTCGACCCAGAGCGAGCGGTTGCGCTTCATGGCGTCGAACTTGGCTTTCATCTCTTCGCGCAGGGCGATGAGGGAGCGGGTTTCGGCACTCGTCCACGGCTTGCGGTCTGTCGGGCCCATGATGTATACCATCGCGGGGCCCGAAGGGGGGCGGCGCCGGTGTGGCGGTGGGAGGGGGGGGGGGGGGAGGGGAGGGGGAGCGATGTGGGGGGGGTGTGAGCAAGGTTAAGGGCAGCAATCCGTTTGGGATTTGTTAACGCAGTCTGTATCCGGATGGTGATGACGCTCACAGCGATCTGGTTTGGTTTGCACCGAAGCTGCAGTCGAGAGGCGCACGCGGAGAAGAAAAAGCCAACCACACAACGGGCCCCCGGCATGCAAGTGTCGCCATGAGCTCTTTCCAAAATCTAAATATATTGACGAAAGTCTCCTAAATATTTCAAAATGTCTTCACTTCATCATCTGCATGCGCAAGTCGGGAGCAACCCTTTTCTGTCGCAAGGGATGGGGGAATCGTGTAAATGTATGTGCAACAACTTGACAACATCCCTGCCCGTCCCCGCCATCCTTCAAATTTTCTCCTCTTGCAGAACCTCCCATGAAGCTTCGCACCTCGCAGCACACAGCATCCCCCACGCTTAAAATTCTTCAAGTCATCATTGTTGTGCTTTTATCATATATAGTCATTGTTAAAAATTGCGCCTTGCATTCTTTGCATGCTTAATTAGTGGTCTAGTCTGAGCTTCTGGTGGTAGAGCCGAGTCAATCGCCTCATACGCACAATCTTGCAACTCGTGAACGGACCGGTTTGCCGTATCAAGTGGTGGATGAACGACGAGTGATATTGGTTTCGTCGGGTATCTTAGAGGCACCCACGCATGCGCCGGCATAACTTCCCTCGTCCCCAGTATCGTCACGGGCACAATTGGTGCATTCTGTTTCTTGGCTGCGCGAAACCCGCCGGACTGAAACTTTCTCATCTTGCCCGACGCGCTGCGGGTGCCCTCCGGGAAGATGACGAGCGAGAGGCCATTCTTCACAACGGCCACCATCTTACGGTACGCCTCCATCTGTCCGCGTCGGTTCATGCGTCGCAGGGCGATGTTGCCCGCCATTTCCATCGCCCAGCCCACGATGGGCAGCTTGAAGATCTCTGCCTTGGACACGTACTTGATACGGCGGCGCAGGTAGGCAAACGAGAAGATGTCCAGGTAGGACGAGTGGTTGGCGACGTACACGACGGGCGTGCCCTTTGGCGGGAGGTTGTGGGCATTGACGATGTTCGGGTGCACGAGCACGCTGCCGAAGGAGCACTTCATCCAGGCCATGGCGATGAAGTCGTGAAACCGGCGCGTGGCCTTGTCCCGCCACATGACAAACGGGTGCGCGAGGGCCATGGGGATGAAGAGGATAATGGACCAGAAGTAGGTTATCGCCAGGAACAGTACGCCGACCAGGGCCAGCTTCTGGGTCTTCTCCGGCGCGGCGGCGGCGGAGGCGGCAGCAGAAGCGTCACCCACATCCGTCGGAAGGCTCTGCGACGGATGGTGGCCGTCCGCGCCCGTGGCGGTCGCGCGCACTCGCAGCAGGCGCGAGCGGAAATTGGAGACGCAAGAAATTCGAGGACGGGCCGACGGTCGCGGTGCGGTGCTCGTGAAGGCCGAATAGGTGAGCCTGGATGACGGTGTTGGAGGCGTAGGGGAGACGAAGGCGAACATGGTTGGGGCGGCGGGCACGGTGGGGATCGCGGGGGAAGGGGGTGGGCGACGGGGGTGACACGATGCCGAACGCAGGGGGGGGGGGGGGGGGGGGCGCGCTCGGCTGGGCCCTTGTTTGTGAGACGTAGGTGATGGAGCGGGGTGGGGCGGAGACGGATGATCTCGGGGTTGCGTGGTAGGGGTTGGGAAAGTTGAAGAGGCTCTGCATGAAGCGTTTTGGTGGGCACAAAGGTTACGCCTCGAGCTCAAAGGCGGAATGAGAGGAATTTGGTCAAGTTTGGTCGAAAATGTGGGTAAAAGTTGAATTTGTTGAGCAAGGAGGAAGTAATTGTGTGCAGTGTATGCCGGCAATGAACTGCGCCAAGAGTAATTGTTTCCATTACTAATTGATGTGGAGTGGGCACATGCTGCTCCCGTTGTCGAGAGATGCCTGAACAAGACAGGCATGAAGAAGGACACGGAACAGAGGCTTGAAAAGCAGTTCCGTGTTCAAAAGCACTTGTGGCATGTTAAGCGGACCGGCAATGCATGCATGCCCCAAATGCTTGCGAATAAATTGTGTTCATACCGTAGTGGGGCCAAACACAATGATCCCCTACGTCCGCAGGTTTAGGCTGTCCTGTAGGATTTGGGCAACTCTTACCGACAAGCGTGAAATGCAGGAAAATCATCTATGGCCCACGTGAAGTGAGCGGAGCGGGTGACGGAGGAGAGAAGTGAGGAATCGGGGAGATGGGGGGTCCCGCAAAGTGCTCCGTTCGGGCCTGTGACAGAAAAAAATTACCGAAAATTAAGGGGAGGAAACCAGCGGAAATGCAGAGAAATACGAAATGGTAAGGCGGGCGCGGCGTCACAGGAGGGAGTGGGGGGGGGCGGGGGCCGGGCGGATGGGGTGTGGGGCGGGTTTGGGCGGGTCGTGTCGGTGGGCGCGGTTTTCGCGAAACGCCCAAAAAAAAAAAAAAAGGCGGAGGCCACGAGGTGCGCTGCGTCCGCCGGCAGTCGCGAACCCGTGGTGTGACCGAGTCACGGGCGATCACCGCAAAGTTACGTCACCAGTTGTGTACCTCAACAACTTCCGCACCCCCTTTTCCTCCTCCATGAAGCGGTCCGCCGCCACCTCCGTCGATGCCGCAGTCCTCGGCGAGACCACCGCTGACCGCAAGCGTCGTCTCGCTCGGGAACGTCAACGCAGACATAGGCAAAAGCTCAGAAGGGAACACCCGTCAGATCCCGCTACCACTCCAGTCCCCCGACCCCCGCCTATCCCAAGGGTCGTCCAGCCCCCCGCCAAGACCGACCGAAGACCCCCACAACACCCGCACCCTCAGCCCCAATCCGTTCGCAGGTCCAACAGACTCCCGCAACCCTCAAATCCTCCACATGCCCATCAGGAACCTTCACACGTCGACCCGGCCAACCATGCCAACTTTCGCAGGGCTATAGAGCTTGCTCGAGCTCAAGCCAGAGTCCAAGCCCAACATGTCCACCAGCACCCTCAGCAACAACAAGCTCCGTCTGTACACCAGACTCCTGAAGATGCAGTCGCGGCCGCCAGGTTGAAATCCTCCCAAAAGGAACGAGCTGCGCCGGATCCAACCACCTTGCAACATCGCCAATTACACACTCAACAGAGTCAGGTCAGAGCAGCACAACAACAGCAAGATACCCCTTCTGCAGGCCCACGCCATCGCCACCTCCAGACCCACACCGGTGACCAGCAGAGGCAGCATCTTCAGCTCAAGCAGCGCCAGCAGCAGCAGCACCAAGGACAGCAGCAACAGACTCCGAAGCATCCACAACAACCGCAGCAGCAACAGCAACAGCGCCAAAGTCAGCAACAGCAGCAGCAGCAGCAGCAGCGCGCTCAGCGACAGCATCAACAGCAACTGCACCAACTCCACCGAGAACAGCAGCGCCAACAGCAACAGCAAAGGCAGTACAGCGACAACCTTTTCACCCAGGCACAAGCTCAACCAACTTTCGGGTCCGCCTCCGGCTTCACAGCCGGCACGCAACCGCTTAACGCCTCGCAAGCAAACGCCCAAGCGACACTCCATGGCGAACAACAGGCCTTCAGCTTTTCTTCTCAAGGCTTTTCTACCAGAACCGCTAACGTCAACCCCGTAGCTTCGCCAACTCGTTTTGTGGCAGATGCGCAACGACAATACTTCCAGCAGCAGAATGTCCCTCTACGCTCCACAGCATATCAAGGGCTTGGTTCCCAGATCCAGCAACGGTCGGAGCAACGAGCGTCTGTGCTCGATGACCCTGCCGATGCAGCCGCCGCCGCCGCTGGGCTCACTGCACTACCGGATGCCGTGAATCGAATGCACACAGCGGAAGCATCGCCAGTGAAGAGCACACCTGCCGGAGTCCTTGGATTACCAAACGCCCAAGGGGCACGGTACCCGGCGGCAATAGGTGCGAATACGACAGCTAATTTACAGCATACCCAGCCCGGGCAGCTGCCGGCACAAAGCCAGCAGCAGCAGCATCAAGGCCAGGCACCGCATGCATCTGTTGCGGGGGACTCACTTTCTCGAAATCCGAATGAGTCAGCAGAGGATCGCAAGCGAAGATTGGCGCGAGACCGACAGCGTCGCAGGCGACAGCGGCTGAAAGGGGAACGCGAGGGGAAAACAGAAGCAGATTCGTCGCCGCGTTCTAGTGACCCAAATAGCAGGTTGTTGGCTGGTGGAGGTACTATACCAGCGTCATCTGTGGGAATGGGTGGGCATGCCATGCAAGCTCATGGACAAGGACAAATCCAAGGCTCTGGAGTAGCTGCACATTTTGAACCAGGTTCGCTAGGACCAAACGCTGGAATGCAGTCAGGTTTGCAACAACTCCATGTACCAGGGGTTGCAGGAGGCCAGGAGGATCTCGTAAATGGAGCGAGCCGAGGAGGATTCAGTGCGCATACATTGGGGGTTGGTGGAGTGAGTGGATCACTCGGTTCAGGCGCGGTGGTAGGGAACGTGGACAGGATCGGTGGGAATGATGGCGAGGTTAAGGAGGTGCCTGTGCCGTTTGAAACTGCCGAAGACCGGAAACGAAGACTCGCGAGAGATCGTCAGAGGAAGCGACGAAGCCGGCTCAAGGAACAGAAGAAGAAGACTATTGAGCCCGATGGAAAGAGTCCAACGTCGTCTCAAACGCTAAAAAATGCGCGGGACAACACTGGCGGGCGATTAGTGGAAAACGCAGAACAGCGACTCCCTCCAGAACTCGATCGACGGGCGATGGGACAGGATGGTACAGGGGATGCCGCACGAATACCGCTTGGTGCGCCTGGCTCGGCAGTTTTCGGAGGTCGACCGGATGTGGGCCAATCTCTTGGATTTGGGGACCAAGGGCGAGGTCTGCGGGGGAATTCATCCATGGCGGATGGGACAGGGCTCAATTTTGGGACGGGAAATCACGCGCTGAATTTGCAAATGCCGGTTGGAAATATTGGAAGCGGCGTCCATTCCCATCCGCTCATGGATTGGAGTCAAGGTTTCGATTCTGAAAACTCGGCTCGATTCGCTGTCGACAGCGCCGTCCTAGCTTTCCGGTCGCATCTCAGTAATTTGAGCCCAAATGGACGCACCTATGTGTTGCAACAAGGTTTAATGATCTTGTCAAGCTCCGAAGAAGCCGGTCGCATATTCTGAACAACTCTCTTTATCTATGTAAACCATCTGCAAAACATGCACATCCTCATCGTCCCACTCTTGAACTCCACAAGCAAGCAGTTCAAAGTAGGACAAGCGAAATAGGCGCTCACACATATTTGGTGTGCCCTACTTTGAACTTCGACAAGCGAAAAAAGCACTCACACTTATTTCGCGTATCCTACTTTGACCCTTCCACAAACCAGATAGGCGTTCACACCTATCTGGCGTGTCCTACGTTGAACTGCCTTGAGTCCAAGGACCTCACTGTCGCGGGCTCTGTCCGTGTAGAGCTCGACACACCGCGTTCGGTTTGGGCCTTACCATCTCCATCCGTCGCGTTTCTCTTATTTTGTGAAGCACCACTCGATGCACTGGTCACGTTCCAGAGCTCTCGCAGAGCTGCATAATACGGTTTGGCATGTGCTTCAAATCCGTGCTACTCCACACCACCAGACTTAACCTTCACAACAAAACCTGAATCCTGAGACTGAAAAAACTGGGTCTCTTTGATCTTTGAAATTACACACCAATTACACCGAGACTTGGTCAATTAATTATGCCACCCACCGTTAGTGGCATCTGAATCCACATTCATCAAGTAATTACCTCATCTCTGACAAACCTTCCAGTTAAACCGCTCTCGCTGTACGTCGGAGGCCGCCACGCCAAACGGGCGTCTAACAAAGTCTCTGAGTCCTCGAACCTCTTCCCACAACGTCAAGCCCATCCTACGCAACTGAAGAGCTACGTGTGGAGCTGTGCTTGAAAAAGCACTTCAGGGAGCCGTTTCCAGTGTGCACATCTGTTTCGTATATCCAAAGACCCGTCGTCACCACCACAAAACAACATGTCGGACCTCAATGATTTCTTCGCGAAGAAGGACCGCAAAAAGAAAAAAGCGGGCGCACGCTCATCTGCTGGAGTGGTGCAGCGCAAAGAGCAAGAGCCTGAGACTGAACCCAGTATAGCAGAGCCTTCCCCCAAACAGCAGGATGATGGCTGGATTGAGATCGAGGATCCGAAGGGTGCCAAAGTCAACACTGGCGGACGGACAGTCGTCGAGTTCAAGAGGTGCGCGGCATTTATCCATTCCCTAACATCACCGTCAAAAACACCTCGAGTCAATTGCAATGCGATCCGCTAATACCAAATGTGTTTCATGCGATCCGAATCCACAGGGGCGTCGAGGAAAACGACAATCAGATTGACGGAAATGAGCCAACTGAAAAGTTTACAGGATGGATCAAGGAATCATCGGAACCTACAGGTAAGTTTCATCCTGCGCTTGGACACGATTCATTCGCGTGGCAACCTATACTGCCATGATTTAAGAAACTGACTCTGTATTTCTACGTGATGCTCGTTCCACCAGCTGAAGAAGCCGAAGAGACAGCGGCACCTGCTGCGGCAATCCCCAGTAGCGCATTCCCTTCCCTCGCGGATACAACGGATGCCCCAGAAGTTCCACTGTCCCATGGGAAGTCCTTCAGTTCCACAACAACATCTGGTCTTTCTTCGACGAGACGGCCGAGATTTTTCAATTCCAATGCTAGCAAAATTCGTCAGAAGCTTGAAGAAGACCGAAGTACCGCCCCTGACAAGAAGTAGACCAGCAACGGCACATAGCAGTGTCTCTAAGATGTTTTTGAATGTGCAGGAAAAAAGACGCATGTCTATCCCCTCCCCACAACAGGTCCTTTTCCACTACTTCCGGGATATGCAATTTAGCTCGTCTTGGCTCCTGGTTCTACTCGAAGCTAAAGGTGATGCCCGCCTAGTAGGATCTTTTCCGACGCTCCCTGCTCACATGGATTGATTCTAAAGCTTTTCTCCAGTTTGCATTGTGTGATCGGAAGGCTCTGAAGGCAGTCCTGTCTGAGACCTTGCCCCGTGTAGCAATTTGCCTTACAATCCAGCAAATACGATTGGTTGTCTCCTCAGACGTCTTCTCTTCACTCCTCTGCAACGATAATCCCGGGTGTGCCTCCCCGTTCCGCATTGCAGTAGTCGTTGCCTGGGCCGTCTCCCCGTCTGTAGTCCTGTCGTAAATTTCCGCCGTTGAGCCTTCAATGCGAGATTGTACTACGCCTGTTTCCGCTGACTGCCCGTCTGGTCTCGATGTTGAATTTGGAGGCAGGGGCTCTTCCGCAGTATCATCACGTCTTTCATCTGGCTCACTGCCCCCTTTCTTTGACGACAACTTCTGTTCGTTGTTTTGAGTCGGTGATGAGCCGTCTGGCTTTTCGGCTGTAACCCTCGGCGCGCTGTCAGATGAAATTTCCTGCGCTGACCGATTCGGTGATATGCATGTAGAGCCGGAATGACGCAGCTTCCGTTTCTTAGGGGGAGTTGGCTTCTCCGCCATACTCCCCATGGTAACGTCCGCTGTTTTTGAGCGATTTGAATCTTGTTCCTTGCCTGGGTCCGCCTTCCGTCTGTTATTCCTGCTTCCATGCGACTTTTTAAGTGATAGCAATCGACTCAAACAGTCCTGTGCACTCTGTGTCACTGGTAAGAATCCAGTGGTCTTCAACAAATCCCAACATTCTATTGACTCTGCAGATGAAACATCTCCCCCATTTTTTCTTAAGTCCGCTACCGCATCCTGGTACAAACCTAAAAGCGTCTTGTCCTGTTCCGCAGTCCAGCGCTGGCTGCGTTTAATCCTCGAGCTCTTCTTGAAGTTGTCCGGCCCCAGAATGCCGTTGTGTCGGAGCTCCGTTTGTCCAAGGGGGAGGTCGGCTGCGTCTTGTCTCGGAGTGCGGCACAATTGGCCCCCATCTTCGCCTAGAATGACTTCCTCCCCCGGCTTCTCAGAGACTTGGTTCCCTAAAGGAACAGACATACCCGCTGCTAGATTTGGTGCTGCGCCGTTTGTCGAAATCTGCCCAGCACCAAGAGTGCCACTCTTTTCTATCCTCTCTACGGCATCCCCAGGTACACGAGAATTGCTTCTCCGTCTATTATAAAAAGTTTTCGGTCCGGAATTCTTTACCGGGATGAGACGAAACTCTTCCATGTCGAGCAGTTTGTTACGTTGAATGCAAGCCTCAATGTAGTCCACCGAATACGCCGTGCGGCCATCCGGCCTCGCCTTAGCAAGAGGGTCGACAAGTGGGATTATAGCTGAGCCCTCCTCGCCGGAATGCGTGACGACCTCACCGCCGTGCGCCTTGATTAACTTGGTCGTCGCATATTTGCCAGCCTTATTCAAACTGACGTAGAAAGTGAGCGGTCGTTTGACGGTAAGCGTCCCTGTTTTCAGCTCCCGCACGAACAAAGATGAAGACGGAGAAGACATGTTTCGTTTGGGCGAGTGCGACTAGGAATAAGTTTCGGCCTGCGCCGGAGACCTCTGCAGGTGTATTGCGCGAATTGGCGGACCTTCAGAAGGAAACCAAGAGTGGGTATGCAATTTGCTTGGAGGGCGCTCGCTCTGTGAGAGCTGCCGCAGTGCCAAACGCTAGGTGTAGTTGCATAGGACAAGGACTTGAGTGTCGGCAACGACGGCTCCAAACGAAATGTAGTTGATAATGGTTTTCCCGCCAATCTCCGTGCTTGATTTTATGTTTCTCCTACACATTTTTGGATGCGGATCTCCTCGTACACGTTGTATACGCGGGTGAAGCTGGCACGGGAAATAGCGAGTGGCCGTTGAACACTTGGCGTCAACCGAGCTTCACCGTCTCGCTCTGCCTGTCGCCACCTCGGCTACTTAGCCCGGTGCTCATAAAGTGACATTTTTATTTCACTTTTATGAAGTGAAAAAAATTCGTAGATCTACCACCGTCCCAGACAGCTTTCGTGAGAGCATCACCACCGGTAGGTGATCAAATGACCAAACAACAACACTTGGCACGTTTTTTCTAGAACTCACTGGTGGGAATTTGGTGGTTTGGCTATTTGGTAATTTGATATCTCAAAAAGAACAGTGCCACCAGTGAGAACCAAATACTGTATAGTACGCTTCGTCCTGGGGGTTTGGAGGGAAGCCCTTTCGTGTGACCAATGAGCCTTGAACAACTAGATTGTCCAGGGTATCAAATTACGAAGAAACAGAACCTACCCCTCCCCGGCAGGGTAATTTGGAAAAAAAGGTAATTTGGAAGAAGCTCGAAAACATTCTAGCAGACCGACAATCAGTACACTGAAAGACAGATAAACAATTCCCTTGTGTACAAGTGTCCGATAATCATCGGACGATCGTATGAGGATACGGTTTGCGCGCATTTCAAATCGCAAACATGGCAGGAAGGGTAACGTACGTGTTGGGTACCGACATAACACTGATAGTCGTATTTGGACACCCCTGTTCCTCACTGAGACTTCTCCGAGCGTTTTTTCAGCCATATGCCACAATGGTGACTCTCTCGATGCGTAAGCAAACTCGAGAGGCACAGATAAGGACTGCACGAGACGCGAAGGTACGGGAGAATCGCCTCAAGGCGGTTGAGCTACTGCGAAAACAACACAAGCTCAGAGAGGTTATGTCTGCCTGCTCTCTATCGGCTGTAACAGCCATACGCATTAAGAAAGCTGTTGCGTCAGAATACACGGCAGTGCTGGAAATTTTCTGGATCCAAGAGCATATAGAGCAGGTAGACAGCTGGTTCTCAGTATAGAAGAAGAGCAACTAATCAAAGATCGCATGAAATTCATTGCCTCACGAGGCTTCGTCATGGATGCCAGAAAACTTCGCAGTGTCATTGCAGAAATAGCCACGGACGGCTGAAGAGGATTTGAAAATGTTCTGCCTTCTGCTGAAGTCGTCAGAGCTTTCAGAGCACGCAACCGGGATATTACTTTCAGAAATGCTGAGAACAAGGAGCGAGCAAAGCTCAGGGGAGAGAACTACTATCACGTGAAACGTATGCCACGGCACTGTAGCAGGTTGAAGCAGCCAACTCAGGCATTTTCACAGATGGAGACAGGCTGTGGAATATGGACGAGACCGCCGTAGATGCCGAATTTGGGCAGCGTGTTATAGCATTCGGCTCCTCCGACACACCTCATGGTGGTTTCCGGTCCTCCTCCCCCAGTATTGGGACTGGTAAACATTTGACAGCTGTGGTCGTGACTTCTGCGAGTGGAAAATGTTTTCCACTTTTCTTTGTTTTTGCCGGAAAAAACATTATGTCTTCCTGGTTTGACCAGCTCCCCACGAAATATTTAAAGATTCTCAAGGACATCCGCACTGGTTGGCTCCAAACAGATGGTTTCTAAGGGATGCTGCTATTTTTATATCCCAAAATGGGTCCTTGGAGATGGGCCTGATGCCTTTTTTAATGGAACATATCGATAGGAATGTGCGGAAATTTGTGCCTCCAGGCAAAACGTTTGCACTTTGTCTTGACCGGCATGCGTCGAGAAATGGGTACGAGTGGCTAGAACTGTGCTTGAGCAAGGGCTGCAAGTTAATACAAAGTCCTGCCGACACCTCTCACTTCTTGCAGCCTTGCGATGCAAATATTAACAAGTGCTTTAAATCTCATGTACGAAAAACACGAGACCATTTGTGCAAAAAGGCTCTGATTGACACGAGATCAATACGTGTCAAGCTGATGGTTGGCGTTGCAGGGTACTGGGAGCTGTCACGTGATGTGGTGCCGTCCTTATTTGTGTCCACCGGTCTTCGGCCAATGGACTATCGTTTTCTAAAACGTTTTGAGACAGGCAAGGTTCACAGAGACGAGGATAAAAATAATTCGGTAAAGTGCGAGAGGGCCGGGCCTGGTGCTCGGCTACCGTCTGTTATTCAACGAAGAACTGGTGCCGGCACTCTCAAGAAATTAGAGAACGTAATCGAGTCCGTAGAGCAGCCATCAAAAGCAATTGCTAAAATGTCCTGCATTCTGAAATAGAACCAAATTGTTAACAGCATTTTGCTCTCCGTGGCTCGTCCTGTAGCCATGACCAAGCTTGGGAGGAGTCGTGTGCAAATAGGAAAGACAAATACATCCTTGCAGTGTGGTACTCCTGCCATTTACCTCACGCATAACGATATTATAGCGCAGAGACGCGAAAAACAGAACATGGCTGCTACGAAGAAATTAAGAAAGGAATTAGAAAAGAGAGAAAAAGAACGTTTACGGCAGGAGACACTTGCAGCTAAGGCCAGAGAAAAGGCTCAAAAGACTGTTCAGAGAAAACAGAAAGCCAAAGACGCCATAAAAGCCAAAGCTGCGACAGCTGAGGCAGTTGCCTCCAAGAAGCGTGAACGACAGGCGGCGAATGCATTGAGGTGCACAAAGAATCGCAAAACTACAGGCAAAAAATCGGAAAAGCCCGACCTACATGCCAGTCGGCAAGCGGCACTGGCAATGATTGGGTTACACGCCAAGGAGATGTAGTACATGACTCATTTTGGAACGGCATTTGTTCCAAATTACCCGTTTCGGGCCTCGATCAGTGTTCTGGGTCCGGCCATAACAAATTGGACTTTTCACCCGTGATGTCAAACACGTTCAGATATTTTTGTGACACTCGTGTAAAGCTGATCTCAGCCTCTGCAACGGTGGGTTTTGTTGCCAAAAGAGACAAATATTTCTTAACGTTGTCCAATAAAAATCATAGTTTGTTCCTTATTACCCTGCCTGGGAAGGGAAATTCTTGATATTGGTTCGGAACCAAAAATTTCATGATTTCGTCGGACCGGTGGGGATGTCAATCCACATCAAATCATCAAATTTTGGTTATTTGGTTATTTGATTCTACCGGTGGTGATGCTCTGATTGTGGCAAAAACTCCGCCTCACAGCGGTTACAATGTAAAGCTGATTAGATAGCTTGATAGGTGCTCGTCGGGAGCACCCCTTTAAAATGAACCTCGGATTGGGCACCTACTTGCCGATGTCCGAAGGCACCCCCCGATGGTCGTGGGGGACAGCCTGTCCGAGGTGAACACTAGATCGGCTAGTTCGTTCTGAGGAAATACTTCTCGTTGATAATCATTGATGTTCGGTTGGTAATGGGTGAGGCTAGTCCTCCAAGCCCACACGAACTCAGCCTTTTATAGAGTTCTAAAATCTAAGCTGGTACAGGAAACCGTGGCTTAGTAGCTGGGGTGAAAACCTATGCACCTCAGCAAAATACACAACTACCAATAGAACTACGTGTTAGGCCGTAGTTACACTAAATGTAACCATTACAGAAAGGATACTGTGCGCTGGATGCGTTGGCGAATTAAGGTTGTAACCCGCGTGCGGGCTGACAGCAAGGTACAGCGCAGTACAGCGCCGTTGCTTACACGTCCTCCAGAGTTCCGGATAATTCTAGATGGAAACGAATTGCTGAGTTGTTCATAATTCTTACACTGCCACCCCTTAAAACCCAAATACGTAGTCTTCATACTCATTCAATACGACGGAAGATCCATTGTTGAACTGGATTCTTGTCAAAGCCAGTTTTCACAACTTCCTCCAAGGCCTTACATCTATTGACCTTTGTTAATCCGGCAGCGATATTGTGCTCTGACAATACCAATCCCACGTTCGATATCTCATGCTTGTTGTATGCTTCTCGAGATGCGGCTATATCGATCATCAAGCGCTTCTCTTCTGTGTGGGAGGCCTTAGTTATCACGTCGAACATCTGCTTGGAATCGGTAAGCATCTTAATAGGGATCTTTCGCTTGTAGAGTTTCTCCAATGTGTGTCGAATGGCAAACACATCATCGAACCCTTCGGCGAACGCGTAGATCTCCCCTGCCATGATTGACCTTACGACACGTTTGCATTTACGACTGGCGAAGTCCAAGACGTGACACTTATCCGAGGCATCACATAGCAAGACAACATATCCAAGTTGCGACGAATGGCCGTCGTTGGTGGCGAAAGAGGCATCCGTGTATGCTGTAAGGTGAAGAGTTCCAAGATCAAGCGGACTGTAGGTTAGGAACAGGTCCAGCGATGATCTAACTCGGTGTATAGCACAGTTCATCTCTTCAACATGCCGCTTGGAGAACGTTTCTTCAGTGACTTGGCCTGATAGATTGATCGCGCAGCAGACATCGAGTCTGCTG